TTTTTTTTACATTAGTAATTATTTTTGTGCATAATTTTATTTTATTGTTAATAATAACTTAATTAAAGCAACAAAACAACATGACGAGCCGGTTCGGAGCCGAAAGAGCCGGTTCTCTAAAAAGAGCCGGAAATCCCATCACTAATTGGAATGAGAGCTGTGCCACGGGGCTTTGCAGAGGTCATCAAGAGGAGATTGTGGACAACAGAATGGGCATCTGAAGGATGAGGGGAGACAGTAGAGGAGACATAAATGCAGATAATTTGCCAAGTGGCTTGTTCCTCCCACAGGAAGAAAGCCTGAAGTGAGGTGATGGGGGTTGACAAAGGCCATAAAAAGGAAGTGCTGACAAGGCCTACAGCTTTCTTTCACAGACTTTCAGAGTAAAACATGAAATTCACAAACACAACTCAGGGACGTGAACAGAGCACTGGGGGAGGATACAGGTAGGTATACAAAACAATAAACACAATATCAAAACCCTTAAGAACCAGATGTCAAGGATTAATCCAAAACATAAGTTTTATTGAATTGAATACTAATGCTAAACAAAAAATGCTGGGTCTAATGACCCAGGACCATGACACAATATAGCTCAAGTTTAGTCACTCTAAACTTGACTTCTTCAGTCAGACTGAAGAAGTCACTTGGATGAGTGAATGAGTTTTCTCCCACAAAACACTACGTCAAGATGAACAGAATCAACTTTTGGAGACTATGTTAAACAAGTGTGTTTTTAAACGGGATTTGAACGATTGAATTGATTCCAAAGTAGGGATTTTGACTTGGAGATTATTCCAGAGTCCAGGGGCAATGATGGTAAATGCACGGTCACCTCTGGTTTTTAAAGAGAGTTAAGAGATATTTTGTAAGATTGTTAAAGTAACATCAAAATAACACATACTGGATTTCAGTGCAAATGTCTTGGCTTTTGTGGTGGTCACTTGAATAAACTCTTATTTTATTCCATCATATAAACTAGACCTGACCTGATTTACAGTCTTCAAGATGAAGCTTGAGAATGCCCTTGTTGTGCAGTTGCACCCAGTAGTAAAACTCATCTGGCATTGCATGGACTCTACTATCATAGGGTACATTATCATAGTAGTGGTTAGTCAGGGGAAAGAGCTTATATGGATGATTACTAAATGGCCAGAATCCATAAAGATGAACAGTTTCACATAATTCCAAAGCCAGACTAATCATATATGCTCCAGTGCTAGGCCGATGTCCATTTACCCCCTGAGATTTCCAGAATTTGTCCATACTTTGCAAGTATTGAGGGTTTGTGAAGATTGGTTGGATAGGAATTTCCATGTCTTCAATGGCATACACAGCCCGCTGACACACTGCACGGTAAGCACCAAAAGAGAAGCAAGGAAAGAGGAGCAGGGAGTTGCCATACTGGTGGAGACTATCTACAAACGCCCGTCGACGTGCCATCAGTGACCCATACCTGCAAATTAATATATTAGTTAAAGAAACAAGACAAAACTGACAGGTCACTTCAATGTTAGAGTCACTCTTGGCTCACTTCTTTGTTAAGATGCTTGGGTTTGCTGTCACAAGGTTAGTCTTCATGCCAACATCACTCTTAAATTCATTTTCCAGAGGAGGAAGGTTGCACCTGAAAAAAACAACAAAATATTACTTACAGAGAGAAGAGTCCTCATCATGATTTTTGTTCTTGACATCTTTCTCACCTAATAACAAAATCAGCTGAATCAATCATTTTTCCACAGCCGCTGTTTGTCAGAATCCCACCGTTCCCAACAACTGAACAAGTGTCCCATCTCTTTTTTGAGAAAGGATTCTCCTGGAATTGACACCAACAGATTATAAATTAAAAAAGAGCAAAATTTAAAAAGTTTGAAATGTACTTTGTGTGAAAGACAAGTGCTCACTGAATTTAATGGAAGATGGCAAACATGTAGGAAGAGATCAGTGATAAGGTTATCACGTTAAAACTTTTAGAGAAATGTATAGACCTGTTTAATCCGATGGCCTTTAAAACATTAGAACTGGATTATCAGTTACTTGGAATTGAAATCTTTCATGATATCATTATATATGTGATATTACATATACGGTGGTTAGTTCTAGTTACTGTGCAAACCCTTTTGTTATTGAAAACATGAAAAAAACATGAAAACATTCATGAGGTCCCTGTTATCAAAATCTGTTTTGAAAATCAGTCTCTTTTATAGTCCAAATGAATCTTTGGCCCAGTATTTGTGAATCTCTCCTAGAATAGAAGGAGACAATAAGTGTAGGGCATACTTGAAAGTTGAAGTTTAAAATGATAGATAAAACAAGAAGCACTCTGACACCAAAAACCAAGGCAACCTACCTTCTGTGCAGTGTTTACTTTCAACAGAATAGTACTGGATATTGTATATATTAGTTTTGTTTTTGTTTGTTTTGTACTGCAGTAAAACTTAGATTAGGATTACATGACAGATGTTTATGTGGATTTTATTTTTACACAAACATTATTTAAGAGTAGGTAAATCGATAATAAACTGATAATGTAAATATCTGTATAATAAATTGAGCTTGTTAAATATTATTGTGCCACAGTAAATTTCTAAATACGTCAGCTAATTCTTTACATTCGTTCTATTAAAGATTTTAGGTCAATTTGAAAGAGAAGCAGATGTGAAATGTAAAGGTTAGGTCAAATGATATTTGGAAACTATAATCCCCATATACCAATATCACTTCCTAAATGTTGCAAGTGCAAACACAAGCAGTTAGTTTTCAAGAAAAAATCCACTTTATACAAGTTTGACCTTATTTGAGCTTGAAGAAGGAGTCAAAGGTCCAAACTAATGTGAAACTTAGTGAAACCCCCATATAATTCCTTACATGGGGCGATCAAGGCTCAAGAGTTGGCAGTTTGTCTTGTAATCGGAAGGTTGCCCCTGCTCAGACAGTGTTGGTCGTTGTGTCCTTGGGCAAGACACTTCACCTGTTGCCTACTGGTGGTGGTCAGAGGGCGCCAGTGTCCG